GAGCCGCCGGGGAGAGCGCGGGGCGCGGGCGCGGGGCTGCGGAGCCGAACGCACGCCCGCTCCCGAGCTGTCGCGCCGCCGGGGCCGCGGGCCTGCCGTGCCTGCCTCCCTCCGGCCGCCGGGGATCGCGGAGGAGAGCGCCCCCTCCGCACCGCCCGGCCGGAGCTTTTGTTTGGCGGGGACGCAGATGGCCCTGTGCGCGGCCGGGAGGCGGCGAGGGCGCGGCGCGCTCCGGGGCTGCTCGGGGCCCGCGCCCGGCCCCGCTCCCTCCCCTCCCGGCTTGGGGGACGCCGCTTATGTAAGCTCGGCGGTGCCAGGCAGCGTGCTGGTGGCTGTGTGCTTGGGGCCGCATCGTCTGCTGCAACTACCTACGAAACACTGGCCACGGCCACCTTCCGGTTGGACTCTTCTGAACTTAGCAAGTGGAACAATGCTATAGAAAAATAAAAGATTCCATGCAAGCGTGGTGCCGCCTTTCTGGCCCCCAGATCTGGAGACAGAGGGGTGGTTGAATTCACACCAGCCACAAAAAGAAAAAGGGAGGGCACGCCGATGTGTTGCCATGGCTACTTGCGGCCACTCCTCCCCCGGTCCGGTGCACACTTATCCCACCAGTCCCTGGAGTTAGTGACAGCCGCAGAAAGTGTTCCCCGTAGGAAGGTCCTGTGCCAGCTGCCCTCCCTCTGGGGTGACTGCAGACCCAGTGCCAGGAAGACCTAGGGGCCAGAGGCGCTTAGGGTGGGCTCTGCAGAGAGAACCCCCAACACCCCAGGGAGCTCAGTGTTTCCTAGAGGGAATTTTATTTAAAAGTTTCCTGGACGCAGGGCTCTAGGTTGAAGTCCCGCGCTGCACGTTTTGTGTAGCCCTGTGTTGCAGCCCACCACACCAAATAGCTTTTTTGTGTAGTCACTGTTCAGTAGGGGAAACTTTTTGTTTTTCAGGACATTGGTGTGCAGGATGGAGTTCCTCGGGTAAGAGTTAACCCGCACAAAAAGCTAAATTTCTTTGGGCTTCTGGGTAGGGATAGAAGTAAAAACACCTGGATTTCTCAGGCGCAATCTTCAAGACAAGAGTGTACTCCGTCACACAGGTGTGTGAAGAAATAAAGATACCCCACCCACAGTAACTGCCGGGTGCTGTACTTCTGTAGCTTTCCTTACCTCTGTGTCCGTCTGTGCAGATGGCGGCTCCAGGGGCACTGGCTGGCATCCACGCGCGTGCAGGCGTGGACGCGTGGAGCTCTGCCTGAGCCGCCCCTTAGCGGCCCTCCGACACACCCTTGTCCCAGTGCACAGCCCGCTGGTTCCAGCCCAGGTCTGTAGAGAGCTGGGCCGTCCGGCCAGGCGCTCCCGAGCTGAAAATGGGTACATGTGCAGGAGGCAGAACGAGACAGGGAGGCCTGTTTTTCTTTTGATCGCTTCTTGAAAACATTGTTGGTATAGGATTCCGAATGGAGAAAGATCCTGCCTAACTCTTGTTTTTTTCTCTGTAGGTCTGGTGTGCTCTGATCAGTTTTTCTGATCTGAAGATTTTGGTGTTTAAGGCATTAAGATAATAGCCTGAATTGTTCATGGTAACTATACCTTCGGATACTAAATCTTGAAAACCTGTTTTGACTTTTGCTTGGGTGGGGGTATAGCTGTGGTCAAGCACTTTCGTGGCATGAGCAAGGCCCCGGCTCAGTGCCCAGGATGGCAAATGATATGATATATATATGTGATTGTATATTGACTTCCATTTCTTTGGGAAAATTGTGTTTTCCTCAAATTTACATTATCAAATAAAAGTAAAACAATGATTTTGAAAAAAGCAAATAGGACACGTCATTCTTTTAAAGCTCAGAACTTTAATATGGTGAGAAAGATCTTTCATAGGAGTTCTAAGTTTCTTTCACTTATAAATTTCATAGCCTTGATCAAGTACAGGTTGAGCCTCATTAATTTACATATCTGAAATCCAAACTCTGGGATCTTTTGAGTGCTGACGTGATACCACAAGTGGAAAATTCCACTTGAAACATAAATAAATTTCATGTTTAGACTTGAGTCCTATCACTAAAACATCTCATGTTATGTATGAGCAAGTATTCCAAAATCCCAAACACTGCCGGTCCCAAGCATTTAGTAAGGACACAACATGCACATCCAGTGTGGATGCCACTCACCTCGGTGGGGAGCAGATTGGTGTCAGGGAGAACAAAGCCGCTCATTGTTGTCTTCCTGGATGTCACCTGACTCTCACAGGGACTGGTCAAACCCCAACCCTCCTGTAGAAGCGGCCTAAAACTGCTGTGGAAAAATGAGAAAGCAGCCCTGAGCTGGCTGGCAGAGGTCACCTCTAAGCACTGTTGTTTCACCGATTCCTCCCCGTGTGGGATGAGCAGAGATGCTACAGGTGGGACGAGGGTCCTTGCCTGCAGCCTGTTTCTTAAATGTTGAGGTTGACCTGCTGTCTTTGTTGTCTGTAACCATGATTTTTAGAGCTCCGTTCCTGGACTGGAGCCTCAGCTCTTCACTAAACTACAAAATATTGGGCAGGTTTCTAACTATAACCTACCTCATACGGTCATTTGGATATGAAAACAATTAAGATATGTAAGGCACCTGGAATAATGCCTGGCGTTTGTTTTGTAGAAGGAGCTATTATTACTATTACTAGGCAAACAGTAAACTGAAGGTAGATAGAGTTCCAGTATGGAAGCCCCTCAGTAAGGATCAGTCTTTTCATCCCAATTCTTGGACTGTCTTAACATGGACTTCCTGATCATGAAATGAAAATCTGCCTGTATTGTCTGTGTGGGAAAGTTATTCTTAATCACTAAACACCTTTTTTAATAAAATTTTTTTGTAGGAGTTTTTCATCAGTATGTCTGAAACCATTAAGTACAATGACGATGATCATAAAACTCTGTTTCTGAAAACGCTAAATGAACAACGCCTGGAAGGAGAATTTTGTGATATTGCTATTGTGGTTGAAGATGTAAAATTCAGAGCACACAGATGTGTTCTCGCTGCCTGCAGTACCTACTTTAAAAAGCTTTTCAAGAAGCTTGAGGTGGATAGTTCTTCAGTAATAGAAATAGATTTTCTCCGTTCTGATATATTTGAAGAAGTTCTGAACTACATGTACACAGCAAAGATTTCTGTGAAAAAGGAAGATGTTAACTTAATGATGTCTTCGGGTCAGATTCTTGGTATACGATTTTTGGATAAACTCTGTTCTCAGAAGCGTGATGTGTCTAGTCCCGATGAAAGTAATGGTCAGTCCAAAAGTAAGTATTGCCTCAAAATAAATCGCCCCATTGGAGACACCACGGACACTCAGGATGATGATGTGGAAGAAATTGGGGATCAGGATGACAGCCCTTCCGATGACACAGTAGAGGGTACCCCCCCAAGTCAGGAGGACGGCAAGTCACCCACCACCACGCTCAGGGTGCAGGAGGCGATTTTGAAAGAACTAGGGAGTGAGGAGGTTCGGAAAGTCAATTGCTACGGCCAGGAAGTAGAGTCCATGGAGACCCCGGAGTCCAAAGATTTGGGGTCCCAGACCCCTCAAGCCTTAACATTTAACGATGGCATGAGCGAGGTGAAAGATGAACAGACCCCGGGCTGGACCACAGCCACAAGTGACATGAAGTTTGAGTACTTGCTGTATGGCCACCACCGGGAGCAGATTGCCTGCCAGGCCTGCGGAAAGACCTTCTCCGATGAGGGCCGCCTGCGGAAGCACGAGAAGCTGCACACGGCGGACCGGCCGTTCGTGTGCGAGATGTGCACGAAGGGCTTCACCACGCAGGCCCACCTGAAGGAACACCTGAAAATCCACACGGGCTACAAGCCCTACAGCTGTGAGGTGTGCGGCAAGTCCTTCATCCGCGCCCCAGACTTGAAGAAGCACGAGAGGGTGCACAGCAATGAGCGGCCCTTTGCGTGCCACATGTGTGACAAAGCCTTCAAGCACAAGTCCCACCTCAAGGACCATGAGAGGCGGCACCGAGGGGAGAAGCCCTTCGTGTGCGGCTCCTGCACCAAGGCCTTCGCCAAGGCCTCGGATCTGAAGCGGCACGAGAACAATATGCACAGCGAGAGGAAGCAGGTCACCCCCAGCGCCATGCAGAGCGAGACGGAACAGCTGCAGGCGGCTGCCATGGCCGCAGAGGCCGAGCAGCAGCTGGAAACCATTGCCTGCAGCTAGGGGACCCAGAAGTGGAGGCAAAAGGCTGGTGGCACTGCTTTCTGCTTTCCTGGAACCATGTGCAGCATCGCACAGCAGGGTTGGAGGCAGTGTTGGTTACGTATCTTTGCAACTTGTCAAGGAAACGTCCTTCCTAAGTTGTGGCCAAACAGTGGCACTGTCCTGTCCGATGTCTATTCTTGTTGCCAGGAAGCTCCTCTTCCCCCTTTGATGATTTTAATTTGAGAACTGTGTCCAGTTTAGAAGTGAGGGACTTCCGTTTTTAATTCCTCTGCACTCACCGCGCCGATGAGTGCACTGCACAGAGTAATAATTGAATCACTTGATTTCCTGATTGTTGCAATTACATGGGACTTATGGTCAAAACAACAGTTTTAATAATTTAATAAATGCACTCCTTACAGACGCAGAACATGGCAGTGGGTGGTTGACCTAGAACACCGAGTAGGAAACCAAGTTCTGCAAACACAGAATGGTATTAGATTTGTATTTGGTTTGTTAATTTTTTATCATTGGTTTTCACTGTTTTTGTGGACAAGTAATACTTGCTTTGCTGACGTGTTTCTTCATCTGTTTTGATTGTTCCCGGAAAGCTGTAGACACAAGTACAGGAGGCTGAGCAAGCCCACCAGGACACCGGTGGTCTTGGCTGAGGTCCGAGGCCCTCTCAGTTGGGGCTTGCGATCTGCACTGGCAGGGTTTTGCCGCGTGGACCAGGGGTGACGAGTAGAAAAGGCCCTCAGTGACAAGGTTCCCACATGTGCAGCAGTTCCAGGATTTCCTAGACCAAAATCATTCTTAATTGATTTTTGAAGTGAGATTTGTATTTAGGATTAAAATTAGAACAAGAAACAGATCTGCTTCTTCAGTTTACATTAATGTAACTTCAGAATGTCATCATGCTTTTGGGCTCCCTGAAGCACCTGATTTATCCGTAAAGGAGATGCAATATGCTTACTTAAATTAATAAATTTAAAATCTTTTAAGTGTGTAAATAATGGTGTTGGTCTTACATATTCCAAGAAGGTAGCTGCACTTTTTTTTGCACATTGGCTTAAATAATTCCCATCAGCAACAAACATCAGAACATTTTTAACCAATATTAAAGATTGTCAGTTCAAATGTTTATGTTTTTGAAGTACATTTCATCACTGGTTATGGTTTTAAGTAGAAGTTGATTGCCTTTCACGCTGTAAATCAGAATTACAAATTCTATTTCGGATTTGGTGTACTAAATATTTTTTTTAACCATTTCCTTAGAACTATATTGAAATGCCAACAGTTGTTTAAAATCTGTAAGAAAGTATTAGTCCATTACTTTGGAATATGTACAGTTGTAGAAAATGCCAACTTAAAATTCATGTTCTGTTGCTAGGATTTTTCTTTTTTTAAATACATTAAAATAATTTCATAGCTTGTTGCATTAACACCTGTAGTTACTATTGTGGGAGGAATTTTACTTTTTAAATTGGTGTATGTGTTATGCCCAAGATTATAGGATGAAGATGCTACCTTTTCAAAAAATTTATTTATTGGTAAAGTGTTTAGTTTAAAATTAATCTGATTTCTTGAAAGTCGTTTATTCTGTACTAAAAATAGTCCTGTCACTGTGTTTGTGTGCTCCTAGCAGGAGGGGAACTGACTGCTGTTCCTAGGCTGTTTTAACCAAAGCAAAGGAAAAGTAATTCAACATCTTTTCAGTAGCTACTTCAAAGCATATTTTGGGCCTTCATTTTTGTATATAAAAGAAAATACACTTCTACCATTCCTATTTTCATTTTTTTATGGCAACATTCCCCACATCCAGGTTTCCACCAAAATCTAAACTCCATACTGTCTTAAACATGGTTTTTACAGTTGCAAGTGTTAAATGTGATACTAATTCCTATTAAAACCACAAATCATGGTGGTACCCCTTAAAAAGAAAGTTTAATTTTCATCACTCTTTTATGTCTTCATCACTTGGCCTGTTTTGCATAAGAAATGTATTCATGTCATAATTTCTACCATTGGTACTGTGTGTTAGCATGTATGTTTACTTTGGGGTTTTTCATTTTTTAATGGCAGCAGAGTTATAGCATGGCAGCTGGTCCTGGTTAGTAACTGCCTCTCTGCATGTCAGCTGGCTGCCCTAATCCCTTGGAGAGTGAAGCCATCATATTAGACTCTTGGACGGTACTTCCATCACCGTGGGTTGTTTACTCTGAAATGCACTGACTGCAGTGTGAGAGGAAGGGAAATTCTAAGTCAACCTTACTGCCTTTTCATTACTACCTTTTCTGTTTGTACCAAGAGAATGTCCGTAAACTTGATGTTAACTTTCATTTGTAACTTCTACTGTATAGACATTGGTTTAGGAAGACTAAAATTAGGGAAATGTGTTACTAGAGCAGATACCTGAGATAAAGATGGAAGTTTTCTTTGACTCACGGTTTGGGAAGTTTCAGTCCATGGTCTGTTGTCCTCAATGTTTTGGGCTTATGGCAGCAGGTCATGGCAGAAGCTCATGTAGAGAAAACCAGTCATCTCGTGGCCAAGAAGCAAAAAGGAAAGGGCTCTTGTGATCTTCAAAGGCCTGCTCCCAAATGACCTGAAGACCTACTGCCAGGCCCTACCTCCCGAAGACCCTGCCAGTTTCCTGTAACACCCCAGGCTGGAGCTCATCTCCAATGTCTCCAACACGAGGGCCTTCAGGGGACACTTAAGATCCAAACTATAGTGGGTAATTTGCTTGCTAATCATTTATTCAACAATTTTGAATAATTAGAAATTATAGGGCCGGGGATTTAGCTCAGTGGTTCCACTGCCTGCCTCAAAAGTGCAAGGACCCGAGTTTGATTCCCGGTACCAAAAAAAAAAAAGAAATTATAGAAATAACCATCGAGTGAGCTTAGTACTCACAAATTCTTTATTGTTGAGAGAAAGTGATGCAAATGTATGTAGTTTTCTGGTTCAGTATGCTGTATAAGATTATCTAACTCAGTCACTTGGAACTTGGAATTCATTTTCTGACTGTAGCACTGCTGGTGGTGATTCATTTCTCGAGGAACTGAGACCACCTACCATGTAAGTGTCATGGAGAGGGTATATGTGGTGCAGGGTTCCACGTCATAGGAGCTAGGGAGCCAAGACCTCCCAGGAGAATAGAAAGCTCACTTTTCTCTTCGAAGTCAGCCTCTATTTTTGCATACACTTTTAAAATTTGTTTCTTGAGACAAAGTCTTGCTTTGTAGTTCAGGCTGGCCTTGAACTCACCGTGTAGCCCAGGCTGGCCTCAAACTCATGGTGATCCACCTGCCTCAGCCTCCTGAATGCTGGGTTTATAGGCATGCGCCACTGTGCCCTGCCTATATACTCCCTTTTTAAACTGGGAATCTTCTTAGACCTATTCAGAATGAGGTTTTGATCCTGCATTTACTTGACAACTGCTTTGTACTTATGACAGCATGCCACCTCGTTAGCCTGTCAAGCCCAGGGCAGGAGCCTTGATGACAAAGCAGAGATTTGGCCTGTGTGCCCCTTCTCAGTCTCATGCAAACTTTTAAAAACTGAGAATGGCCTTTGCCCATCACCCACCTGTTATCCACGGTTCCTTCAAGGTCACTGTACTGATCCCAAGGGCCTTGGCTATGATTTATTTGGTTGTGAGAGATTTTCAGCAGTTGGGTGTTTTGCACATTCTCTTTAAGAGATATTCCCAGTTGCCAACATCCACTTGGTTATTTTTCAGTATACAAGGAGGTGGAAAGACTTAAGTTAAACTTAAATTTGGATCCTTGTTCTACTTAGTAGTTAGTATACAAATTTAGACAAGTCGTTAACTGCCCTGAGCTGATTTCATCACCTCTAGAATAATGACAGGGATTTCTACCTGGTCTTCTGTGGGGATTGTGATACAAAACACCTAGCCCAACACTCCCACACCAGGTATACCATAAATATTCCGATTCTTAAACAGCATTCTCAATGCAAAGGACAAGTGAATTTCAATTCTCTTTTGCCTTTGCCACTTGAGTTCAACCACTGGCCCTGAGTGATAGACTTAAACCTCATTTTAGGTCTTAGCTGAAAATACCTACAGAAGATCTGCTTATCTTAGCATTTTTGTAAGTTTCAACCCATTTACAGCTCTGTTCTTACAAATGGGTGTATTCATACATTTTCTTTGGTTTTGTAGTCCCCCATTAATCCATTTTTTTTTTTTTTTTTTTTTT